TACATTCCCGAGATCGTGCGTAATGTACTCTCGACATATCGATATTACATATGTGTGAGCTCTGGGTATGTGTGTATATATGTTAACATACGTATATGTATAATAATGTACAATGAGAAGAATTATAAGAGACAGTACAGTACACAATAATAAATACTATCTTGATGCGTGTATAGTTATAGTCGTAAAACGCGTTTCTCTCTTTCTCATCATAATAATGTATTCGAACATATGTGTAGGTATGTAAGGTATGTGTATGTATGTGGTTATGTATATATACAGATACATAGTCCACAAAATAATTTTCTGTATGTGTAATTAGTTACCTTGTGGAATATGTCTTTCCTTCCTTTCGTTGCATCGCGTTAATTTATATATGCAACAACGACAATATGTATGTATCTGTGTATGTGTGTGTATATATATATATATATATATGATTTATCTTAATAAGGGTATATAAATATAATTATATTATCGTGTTTCACTTTTTTTTCTTCTTTATCGTAGTGCTTCGCTCCTGCGTCGCGTGTCTAAATAATGTAGGCATTTGTTGTATACGTGTTCTCTGTGTGCAATGGTGTATAGAGTGCAAGGGGAAGGCACTTCCGCTGTTTTGCCGATGTCACACCGAGAACACGGGATTGCGTCTCCCACACTTCTCTATCCGTCCGCGTACGAGACACCCTACACTCTAATACATATCCTCTTTAAAAGAATACACTCTCGTCTAGTAAAATATAATGAACATTCCTCTTATGGAAGTACGTAGTAGCTTTGCGATAAAACAATCACAGTTCTAAGGAAACATTTTGCTACATTTGATGCAACAACGGCGACGACCGATCGCGTCGAGGCCCTTCCCTCCCCCCCCCTCCCCCTCCCAGAACGCGATTCCGAGTTTTCGGTGTGAACTTAAAAAAAAAAAAAAAAACCAGCCACCCTCTCGATAATGTACGTATATAATTTGTAGACATCAAGTTTTTTTTCCAGGAACCCTAATAGTGTCGGTCCGTAATCGGTATTTCGGGCTCGATCCTATCGACTCTCTCAACTATATCCTTGTACCTTATGGAGTTGTCGTTAAGTCGAATACGGAACTTCATCGCGCGTCATCGCCGAATCCTCGGCTCGTCCAAGGCCGTTAGGACTTTGCTTACGGATTAACGTACTATATATATATGTCGTCATCTTCTCGAGGCCCTTTAGCGCCGATGACGTCACGTGTACGGTACCATGATGTGACGCGTGGCATCATAAGTACTGATCGTGAGTTTCAAGTTGGACGCCATACAAGGCACTGAAAGGGCTTTACTAATCTTACTATACTCCAGTGCCACGCGCATGCGAGAACAGTGTGTGCGTGTACGTGTGTACGTATAAGTGTAATACATTATATATTATCACATAGGACCGCCGCACGCGCGTTTATCGTAAGGATAGAAACAATTTCTTCCCTCCGGGACAGGCGCCTCAAATAAATTCCCTTGGACACTAGTACAAAACAGCGTTCGCCTCGAAGAGCCGATTCTCGCGTGGCATTCGTTATGGAAGACCCCATGATACCTTTGAGAATTCTCAATTATGACTCTAAAGCGATAACTATTCACTGACTTATAGTGAAACCTTATCCTCAAAGCAAATAAAATTCGACGTTACAAACGTTAATTATAGAATAATTCGTCGATGATAAATGCATAAGTTACGAGCATTTAAAAAAAATATGTAGCTTCATCATTTTGAAAGAAGGCCAACTACAGTTAAAACCATGGAAGAGATATTTGTGAAGTAATTATTATATCAAATATCGTTAAAAATATTCTATGCGTTCACCATTTATACATTTATATATAACATAATAAAATTATAAACTAGTCAATGAAATTGAATCAGTAGGCGACCGAGAGATATATCTGTCTTCGAAATTTATAAGAGTGTTGCGTATTGCTCTTTAAATTGTGTACAGTCCGCGTAAATTTACGGTTTAGACTGCTTCTATGAATATTCATTATTATTAATTAAAAATCGCTAGTCTAGAATCATTTTAAGACAATCTCATTCTACAATCTTGTGCGTTTTCTGCATAGGTGACATTTCGTGACCCCTTGGAAGAAGTTGTTTCTAAATGTCGCGGAAGAACCGAAGGAATTGTGAGGAGAAATTCCCTTATTCCCCATTCATATCCTCGTATCTCGAGCTTTCTCAGGCCAAGTGGAGAGATACGACATTGTAATCCGAATAAAATTTCTTAGCAATTGCAATTTGCCACGTCACGGGCAGGGCCCGGATTAAAACTAAACTTTTACGAGAGAGATTTAAGATAAGTATATATCGCGAACTTTTCGCACGGAGCGATAAAAGCACATTTCACTTGCATACGTGCCGGGATTCTAGGAAATACCTCACCTCGTTCTGTTCTTCCGCGTTTTCGTGTACACAAATTCCTACCGCCGTACAATTCGTTCACTCGGTTTTTTTTCCGGTGAAAATTATGATTACGGCCGGCCGTTTCGCGTTTCTTCTCCGTCTAACGTGCCAGCAAAGTGTGCTCTCCATACATGTATGTGTACATATATAACATATTATATAAGATATCATATATTATATATATTAATATATATTATATATTATTAAAATATATTATATATGTACACAAACATTTACATACACACGTATATGTGTATGCATATAACTCTACATATTGACAAACATCTTTCAATTTCGTCCTGTATATATAAAAAAAAAATTATTTACAAACGCATATATACATACATATATAAATATGTATATATGTATATATGTTTATAACTATACATTCGGACTTAAACAAACTTTCAAATCACTGGCAGACGCGTGAATGCGGACATGCGGAAGAGAGGAAAGTAGATGCCAGTGATGAATACATTTCCCTGTATTTTCTCGCATATACGAATTGCGCTCTCTCAGCTGTAATACCGCACAACTTTCCGCTTTTCTCTCTTGCCATTATATACGCGCGAATTAATAAAAATATACGCAGTGTCTATCATGTAAGTCGTGTGAGTGTCTTAAAGTGTAATGTTTTGTGCGGTCGTGTACCACGATGCGCATGTGAACTCGTTTTTCTTTCCCCCCTCGAGGGTGGCAATCGACGAGACGTTTCTCTTCCCGTCTCACCGCCTTCAAGGTTGGACCGACCATTCTTTTTTTTTTTACTCTCCCTCCTCTGTTTCTCTCCAATTCCACGTAAATACATCCGCATATCTCCGCGGATCCGCTGTTTCTCATTCTCTTTCTCAATTATTTTTTTTCTCTGTACTTTTCTCATTCGGCTAAATGCATAAGCTCGTAGGTCGCAATTGACGAAGTTCACTGTGTGCAACAGACTCCCCCGAATTGAATCCATTAGGACAGAAGAGTACGTTGTGTTCGAGCACGCTTACGCTAATGCTATAGATACGCTAAGTATAAAACAAATAACTATCCTAAATTCTACGCATATTACATGACAACTAAGGGCCTACCGGAAGCGTCGCATCTTCCAGTCGAATTTATATACTTCTCGTCGATGTGCAAGGTGTTTTTTTTTTTTTAGGAAATATACGTCTCGCTATATATAGACATAATATATATTCTTATATCTAAACCAAAAGAAAGGACAGGTCAAGTCAATAAAAATTTTAAAACAATTTTCTTTAAATGTTAACAAATATCACGCACGAGCCTCCTATAATCCGAAATATATCATGTGATAACAAAAAAAAACCAGTTTTTTTTTTTAATGCACATGATGCTAAAATGTTAAAATCAATGTTATCTGCGTAATTCTTTTCCATTTAACATTATTCAACTTTCTTCCGAGATAAACAAATAAAATAAAATTTTGAACATATCACTACAATATATAAATAAGCGAACCGTGCTCTAATAAAATAATCTAACTTCGGATATAATAATTATTTCAAGAACTCTAATCGCACGAACGTTAATTAACACTACGGACTTATAAAGGCAAGTATCGCACATAACGTGACATCAAGTAGGCCGAGCGTCGTTTTCATCTTCCTTGTTCCGGACGTTATACGTTAAAATTTGGACGAAATGGCTATAACACAAAAATTTGCGTAATTTCGAAAATAAAAATATTGCGACGCCGTTTTTTTTTTACGGCGGAAATTGACTTATTTACAATTTAGCCTATTAAAAGAACAAAACGGAGCCACGTAACGACACATAACATTTTCAATAGTTCTCTGCAGTAAAACAACGCTAAATTATCGGCATAATTAAAAACTATCCCTATAAAGTATATCGCAAATCGCTATTACCCTAGAAAAAGGATCAAATAGTAAAATAGATGATTAATGTAATTCGTGACTTTTCGGCCACGCTCAATTTTTCGCAAGCTCTCTCTCTCTCTCTTTCTCGCCTTCTCTCGTACGCAGTCTTTACCGGCAAGTCGAAATTTCCAGTCGAAATTAAATTCAGGTTTATTCCGACAAAAATAAGAATCGGAACGGTAGTCACGTCTCTCCCTCAGTCATTTAAACAAGCAGGGGAATATGACGGGATGAAAAATCTCGTATTTCCTCGCATCGTTCACCGTTCTCTTCTCAGCAGTTGTACGCTTTATAACGCTCCAAATGGAATTGGGTCAATAAGGCACTGTTCACCGACAATGTCTGACTAGAAAATGAATCTATTTTCGGAACTTGTTTTTTTTTTATATCAGCATCTCTCTCTCTCTCTCTCTCTCCTTCTCGTCTCGCAATCGCTCGACTGAATATTCCCATTCCTCTCGCGAACGAAGACCGATTTCTCGCTTCTTGAGCACCGATGGAGATTAATATCTTATGACTGCACTTTTGTCTTTCTACATTTTTCGTTCCATCGATGTAGTCGATGTAGTCGAAGATTTAAATACATGATTTTTTTTTAATCGAATAAAATTAAAGCTAACAAATTGCAATTCGATATCTTGTATATGGTATAAAGAATGTATATATATTATAATATATATATATATTCTCTCTTTCTTTCTTCTCTCTTTATCTTTAATACACTTTTTCAATCAGCAAAATATAGAAAAATCAAATAACAACGTATGACAAGAAGTTCACTAATCTCCACTATGTAATTTATGCCGAAAAGTAAAACATTCTAGAACTAATTCCCACTGAATTACTGTAAACTAATGTATCAAATATTCATATAGCTCAATTTTATAGATTTGATGTATTTTATCAATCTTAAAAAGCTCACTTCCACAAACGCTATTATTTCTAAACAGCCGTTTTTCATCTTAGACTTCATCTGAGACTGAAACTACGAAACTACGAAAATACAATTGCGCGAGATCTATTTAGATCGTAATAATTGTTACGGTTGTCATTCGTCCCCGCAATTGAACGCTAATCGTAAAGATACTCTAGAATTATCTAAAATACACCGCTACCGCGATCGGTAGCGGCGATTATCATCCGTAGCGACTATCGCGGAATCGTTCGCTCGTTCGCGCGAGGGAGAGAATGGAAGGTGCCCGAAGGAAGGAACGGCACTCTCGTGAGAAGAGACGAGTCCTCCCGAGCCGGTAGGCAAGGGACGTCTTTACGACGTCTTCATCTTCTTGTACGGTTGCATGATCACCCCGGAGCTCACGGGGATCGCTACTTGCGGCTGCGCCGCTATCGTCGCCGGATTGCCCATCTGCGGTATCTGCGGTACACCCGCGGCCGCGACGCCCGCCGCTACCCCGGGTACACTGGCTACTCCAGGTAGAACGGCGTACGGATTCTGGACATAGGGATTGGTCTGTACGGTCGCGGCGCCGGGTATCGACGCTTGGACGTACGGATTCGGCAAGATCTGCTGCCTGATCAGGGCAGAATATGGATTTATATGGGGGGTCGCTGTGGGCGGCGGTCTGGAGTACGCCAGGATACCCGCGGACAGCGGTGAGGTCAAGGCGCCCGGGATACCGGCCAGACTCGAGATGACGGGTCTGGGAGTCGCCGCGGTGGCTTGCAGACTGGCTGTCATCGCGTGATTCCCGGCGGCCGCCGCGGGATTCACGAGGTTTTGTTTGTTCAGAGCGACGCCAGTGTAATTAAGCGCGGCGAGGTGGCCGATGCCGTAAGACTGCGAGGCCTGCGAGAGTTTGATGGCTTTAGCATAGTTTTTCTGGGCGACCTCTTTGGCGAGCGCCGCTGGATCGAGAGGGGCTGGTAATCCGGAGGCCATCCCGAGGCTGTTGAGCATATTTAGGCTCGCCATGTTGGAGGCATTATAATTGCCCACAGAGGTCATGTTCGTTATCGGTGACATGTTCGCCATGGAGACCATGGAAGCCATCGAGGCCATGTTCATCATGTTAGGCATCGAGGTCAGGCTGGCCATCGAGGTCAACGGACTCATCGCTGGTGGCAGCGCCAGCTGGCTAATTTGCTGCTGCTGCTGTTGGTGTTGCTGTACCTGCTGCTGCTGTTGCTGCTGCTGCTGTTGTTGTTGCTGCTGCAGTGACGATGGGCTCGAATGATTCAATTCGGGGGAGTTACGCGCATTTTCGACATCGTGATTCTGCGTGGTAACCGGCTGCTTGGTATTGCCGTTACTATTGTTACTGTTATTGTCAGCGGTCGGAGGTGGCGGCGGTGGATTGTTGCAGGGATCCATCAGTACGCCATTGTTGGCGTCGGCGCAGTTATTGACTGTGGCGCCAGCGGCTCCCTGGGAGGAGGAGGATTGCACCACCATCGCGTGGTGGTTGCTTTGCACGTTCGGGGGTTGCACGACCGATTGGTTAGAGGTTTGAGTGGGTAGGGGTGGTGTTCCAGTGTACTCACATGACACAGGCACGAAGGGCTGCTGCAGCTGCATTAACTGCTGATAGGTCGTCGCACCGGTAGGCTGATAGACCGGCACGCCGGACTTGTCGGCCGCCGGTCGTTTATACGGAACCATCCCTGGGAAGGCCTGCAAAAAGAATTGCAAAGAGATTCGCGATTAGAACTGGCTTGTGACGCGAGCGGCGTGGCCACTCGAGCGGAAGCTTCCTCCATGAAAGCCTCGACTCCGTTTCGGCCGGGGATACGATATATTGTTCTCTTTTGCGTGTTCATGAGTTTTCTTGATCCAGCCGTGCAGGGGACGTCGGGTTTGACATTTTCCACGACGAGGCGGACGAAAGGCCGACCTCTTTCGTCCAACACAATCAAATTCAATCGTAATTCAATCATAACAAATTGATATTTTATTAAAATGATCATATTGTTACAGCGATTCTCTTTTTCGTATTCTTTGCAAAACAGTGATTATGTCGCATGTACCACAGCCGGGAGGAATCGCATATCTGTATCTCAGCGATATTATCACTGATTTGCAAAGAAACAATCGCTGCCATCTCGTTAAGCCGATAATGCTCCATATTAAGATGCTTGTAAATTTAATGATAATTCCAAAAGAATTTTGTCAGTAGAATTTTTACATCTTGCTGCAAGAAACGAAATATCTCCTGGATGGGGAGATAATATTAATCGCGAGTATAAATGGAATGATACGCGCGAAGAAATGGATTACAGCCATATAAATTATGATTCAATGTTTAGGTTCTGCACTTACAAAGTTCTCGTAGTAGAACGACCCGACAGACTTCATGTCCATCTGCAACAAAGACAGGATCGGTTTCAACTAATTTCGAGGACGAGGCGCGTTACGTCTGTATAATTGGATTTTCGAGACGGGAAAGACGAGTGAGGGTCGTGTCTCAAAGAAACGAGGGGGAGAGGGACACAGACGGTGACGCGGTTGAGAAGGGTGTTGGACTGTGGTAGTGTGTAAAAGTTGTGCCGATGACGCAGCTTGCGGCGACGTTCCCAAACGACGACGTTTCGTTGTTGGATAACTGCAAAATGTTTCGTTCGTTCGTTCGTTCTTTCTTTCTTTCTTTCTTTTGCACTTTTCCTCTGTTTCTACTACTGGGAGCGTGTCAGAAAGACCAGCCATTGTTAGTATCGAGGACCGTGCGCGGCTCGATTAAAGAGAGACCGTCGCATTACATTAATATACGATCAAAATACCGATCGGAAAAAACTGCACTGTCGCCTTCCCTATTAAAGACTATTGCGAGAGCGAAGAAGCAGGAATCGCGCTGTAACAAAGTCGCCGATGCTAATGTCCGATCTTTGAAAGCTTTTCGTTCATTTTACGCGCGATAAACGTGAAGACAAATGAATCTTTCCTCCTTTGCGAGCAAAACGGAGAGACTGAAGAGAAAGATATATAAAGAGAAAGAGAGAGAGAGAGAGAGAGAGAGATAGATAGAGAAAAAGAGAAAAAGAAAGAGCAAGATCGACAAGAGATATTAATAAAAGGCGCAGTTGGGCTTGGCTCGGAGAACAAAAGGCATCGCGATACCGACGTGATGCGAAAGTTGCACAACACGGATTCACGAAAGCTGGTAGGCTTGCGGTGATACTTGGTGAGCGGGCACTTTGGTAAGTCGCCTGCGAGAGACAGACGCGTGCGCAACAAAGAGGGGATGACGGCGGCGGGGGGGAAGCCAAATCAAAATCTCTATATCGAGGTGTAAAAAACACGTTCGAGTTAGAAGCTGCGGTAGACGAGATGCAAAAGCTCAAGAAGCTGACTTATATATAGTAAAAGTGGCCGGGGTGAAACATATTGTCACAGCGGCACAGATACATACATATATGTATATGCGTGTTAACACGTGTTCCCGCGGATTGCTCACCAACGAAGGACTCGGAGTCGACGCACGGATGGTACACAATTTTCAAGACCCGCGACTTTGCGTGCAAAACTTCGAACGACTCCGAACTCGCCTCTGACCGCCGCGCCGCGCCGTATATGCTGCGCTCCGTGACTAACGCAGAAAATTAACGTAATTGCGAACGTCGCCAGTAAAGCGTGTGCGCGAAAGCGAATCAGCGTCGTCACACTGCTGCGTTTTGTTTGCTTGAGAATGTGCAACCGGCTATCACGCAACGTGCCTTTCAGCTGTTTGTCATTCGTATCGAGCGTTGTTGCCTACCAAGTCTTCCGAAAATATATAGAAAAAAAGAAAAATTCGATATATCGTTGTAACAAAAGTTTTCATCGAATTTTTGGTTTTTCCGAACATGTATTAAAAATACCGTAAAACAAAGGCGCTTTAGAACTAACACGCTTTAGAAAGGGAATTATAATAGCGTTATTTCTTTTAATAAATTTCGAGCCAGCTACGCGCTAATCAAAATTTAATGTTATTGCAACTTTTAAAAATTGACCATAAATTTCTATTTAATGGATTTACGTATAAATTAAGTAATAATGAAATTCATTTCAAATTTGCTAAAAAAAAAAGAGAAAGAGATTTCCTCTTGTTCTTTTGCACTACAATCAGAAAACTTTCGGCTTCAAATTCACAAAGAAAATCCGTAATTCCCATATCTTATAATACATCTTGTATGCGTACAGCGAAAATCCATTCACATTCGGCTACCTCGACGTTATCGCGTTTCAAAATTTCTGTTCTGAAATATTGATACATTTTTGCAACAAGAGTTTGCATTCTTATGAATTTATATGGATTCTATGCAGGCACTCCTTCTTTCTCTTCGCGTATTGAAAACTCGCGTACCAAAAATACCGAGAAGTTATGCACGCTTTCTGAAGGAAGCCTCTATTTGTACAGCGAAAATCCATTTTCGTCCTGGCGCTCGGAGTTAGAAAGTTGCACATGGATAAAATTACGTTTCAAACCCGAACGAATCTGTCGATCGCGCTTCAGATGCTGATTGACAGTATTAGCGACGGAGAGATAGAGAGAAAGAGCGAGATATGTACGTGATATATATAATATGTATATAAAGACAGAAGTAAAAGAAAGGGTAGTATTAAAAAAAGTAGCGAGTGTATGTAAGCGGTCTACAGTGCTCTTTAGCAGACTCGACGTGACTCTAACGAGGACAAGGGGAAGCCGTCACGCGGACGGCGAATCTCGATGTCTCGAAACGCGTGTCGCGGCGATGAGGGTCCGCTCGACGATCCTCCGCGACAAGAATTGCCAAAACTTCGGTCATCGTCCAGAGAGCGTCGAGGGGATGACGTTTTACGTCCACCATCACCTCGGTAGTCGCTTAAGCACAACATGCATCATCGGCGCAAGCTCAGAATTTACACAGAGATCTAACGCTCCGCAGCACACAACGCGGTATGCAGGATTCGATGGCATACCGCGAAAGTGCGAGGCACCATTAGGGCCTCACGACTCGCCCCCTTTTACTCTCTTTTCCGTTTCGTTTCGTGAGGGGGTCCTGACGTACGGAGATTAGAGTCGACGGTTTCCTTACCGAGCTCGCATCGAGGCACGCGCGCACTTCCGTATAATCAATATTTGCGGCCTTTGCATTCACAAGAGCTCTTTTCCGCTTTATTAATCTTTTAACGTTGAGAAATCTCCAGTTCTTTAATCCTTTCAAGATTTTTCGATTGTTAATATTTTCAATTACGAATCACACAGTTGTTACAATTTTCTTCAATTGCCAACGTAACTCTGGCGGTTAAGCGCCTTGGATAAATAAAAGAATATTTCATTAAAACAAGTAATCAATTATTCACGATATAAAGAGCATACTACTATAACAAGAAAGCCACTATTTACACGCTCGTATAAAATGTGATAAGGAAAGATATCGCATATCGCGGCTACATTAATTTTTGTCAAACTTTAAAGGATTAAAGATAGATGTACATATTTTGAAGCATATATCATTTGCCACCTAATTCGAATTTTTCTCAAGTGTCTCAACAATGCGTGCGTGTCTCGAAATGTAAGCGCAACCAACGAGCGGATGACAATCGTGGTGAAAAATGCACTCCTTTCACGCGATCGTGGATCCGCTAATTTCATTGGCCGGGGAATCGCCAAGGGGTAAATGTATGTTAAATCATATACGGTACTCGCTAGCCACGCTTAATGTGCCACTGCATGGACGCGACTTTGATGGAATATGCACTTTGCGCATTCCCTTCATAGAGAGAGAGAGAAAGAGAGAGAAAGATTTCTTCCATATTCGTGATAGTGCGTGGCTAACGATCGAAAAAAAAGTAGTAAGCGATCTATAAATACATTACGAGGCGTAAGCTCTGGTACGAACAACATTGCAACGAACGACAGTGGAAAGCGAAACCAAGAGAAAAAAAAGATAGAGTCTCTAGAATTTTTTAACGCGTTTTTTTTTTATTTAGAAGCCAATGCGATATCGTGTACAACCCGAGAACGATACGAGAACAAACGGTTCGGTGCGATATAAATGGTCACGGTGGATGAATACATATCTTGCAAATTCTTTCGCGCCCACAGTACCAAGTAAGTTTTGTAAGATCGAGAAAATCACCATAACTCATAAAGCGATTTTACCCTCGTAAAGCCATACGTGACGTTTCGTTAATATTATAGGATTCTTTTCAAGCAAATTCGTCTTTTTCGCGTGACGCGATTATTTGCGGTTCACGTAGCATCACAAAGGTTTCAATCGTGACGCCGTACGTGACGCCGTCGGTATCGTAAAGGTTTCTACGGTAATATTCTCGTGATAGTACCCGGCGTTAGAGGGGTTTCAATAATGACGCCATACGTGGCGTCGCTAGGCTCATAGAGGTTTCAGTTATGGCGCCGTGTGTGACGTTATTGATATTCCAATATGTACACTTCAATCACAACACCGTGCTTAGGGCGGGAGGGGGAAGAGCACAAACGCGACGTCTCGTATCGTTAGGCTTACACGCGTCGGCTGCAAGGTTTCGCCGAAACGTTTCCGCTTTTTTTTTTCTTCTTCCGTTTGATAGAGAAACAGCCGGGACTCTTGTTAGAAATGAAAAAAAAATGGAAGACAGGAGCTAGAGCTCTAAGCGCGCTCGGCAGTGTATTCACAATCGCAATAACTGTACTCATAACTTAAAGATACGACTACGTGGGATCTCCGGAAAATGGCCTGGAACCGTCTCGTCGCGGTCGCCCGAACTTTACACCGCGACGCAAACTCCGCGACGCGACGTAGCTCGTAGCGTTATAGAGAGATCGGTGTAGAGCGAAGTCGATTACATTTACGACGGAGAACGTCCGCTTAAACCTGTCCGTTTGCAAAGTTTCTGCAATCGAGCGTAAGCAAGTATGAACAAGTACGGGCAAACACCAGTTCGAAATTCTACGAGATTAGCATGAGATTATGTGACTACCAGCGATTAATTTCTCGCATCCTGCATTAAAAAGAAGATCTGTCAACACCGCGACTCGATAAAGCCAATTAGTGATGTAAATGTAGCCAACACTTGACGTCATAATAAGTATTGTGAAAATATCATTAAAATATCTTCTTGTGAATCTATCAGTTAACTTCTTGCTGGCACTGGATTTTCTTTTCTATCAAGGTATAGAAAATTTTGAAAAAAATATATACAAGATATACACACGTTCTCGCGAGAATCGTTGCGTGACATCGAGGCCATTTTACCAGAGTCCAGGCTACGAAAAAAAGGAAAGTGTACTCCATGCATAAGCCGTGGTACCATTAGCAGATCATCGTTGGAGTCGCGCATCCGCTTCTTGCCGAGCTCGATGCTCGCCATACTGGCGCTCTGAAGTCCTCCGGGCATCGCAGTTGCCGGCACTCCTGATACTCCGCCAGCCAACGTACCCATTCCCGTCACGTTCGTCGGCATCGTCGCCGTCTGCGTTTTTTCGTATCGTTTCGTTCCGTATTTATTATATTTTTTTTTTTTTTCGTTTTCATTTTCACACGTTCGTTCGATTTTTTCCGATTTCACGGTTTTTTTTGTTTTTGACATTTTTATACGTGTACACAGATTTCAGGTTTTTACAGCCGCATACAGTTTTTCCGTGCGTCGCCGTGCGTCGACCACATCCGTTTCCGTTTCGGCATTCCCGAGACATTTCCCCAATCGAGACATTTTTCGTTTTTCGTGTGTTAGCATATTTATACATATTTTGTTGTATCGTTGCGGCGGTCGTAGCGATGGTGGCGTATACATGTTTCCGTGTGTTCGGCACATGCGTGCGGTGGGCATCGGTCGATCGTGCGTATTATTTACGTTGGTTTTTATTATTTGTGTTGGTACAGTTTTTTTTTCCGAGTTTTTTGGTCGGGCAATATTTTCGCAGGCGTTAATTGGCAGGTAGCGAAGCGCACGAAGGTATTGTCAGCAAGCATGTAGAAGCATCGTCAGGCGGAAGAGGGCAAGATAAAAATCAAAAAAAGAAAAACAGACCAGTTGAGGCTAAGGCAAGAAACGACAGTCGCGATATAATTCTTTTTGTCTTAATGTAAAAAAAAAACAAAGAAAGAACACATACTCTTACGCGTGCGTGTATGCGTGTAGGCATGTCCACGTACGAGCGCACGCGTTCGCGGAGTTTTACACGTGGCCCCGTCGCGTGTCGCGCTTATCAGACTACTCTCTCTCTCGTCGTCCCGCGTGAGTCGAAACGCACACACGCGCCACACGCATACACGCACGGGATTTACAACATTTTTGCGTGAGCTCGTGCGATCGCGCGTAAGACGATACGTCCGCCAGTGCGTAACACCCGACCGCGTATATTAGATCCACCGCTCGAGTTACCCGCATGTGCACCCCGAACTTACGTAACTGCTCCCCCGTTTATCATGCCCGTTCGTCTTTTATCGTACCGTTATCGTCCTCTTCTTTATCGTTTTAATTTTCCACTCGTTTTCTTCAAAGCAAAACACGAGCGTTCGAACGAATTTCAAAGGTAGCAAAGATAAAAGGTATAAAAGAAGGAAATATAACCAGATGCAGAATTTTTATGCGCGATCCAGATATCTTCTCGAATAAAATCAAAACTTCCGCGAGCAGAACGCGAATCCGACGCGCGATCGCAACCTTCTTCGTCCGATAAACGCGGCTGTGACGACGAATCCGATTAACCATTTATATTGTCCTGGAAAAAAAGATATTTTTCTTCGTAATATCCGTTTTTCAGTACATAAAACTTTGTATCAAAACACGATGGGCTTTCAATCATCGGCAAGTCGAAAACTTGTTTGATGCATGCGTAAGTGAATAACATATTTTGACTTGTTTCCGATACCGCGTTTATCGGCCTTCCACCGCGTTACTCTTTTGAAATATATGTAGCAACGCGATGACTCGCAGAAGGCAAGTTCCTACGAGACAAACGTGAATAAACATCACCGATTAATAATAATGGCAATAATAATATAATAACGCTGCTGATAATAATAATAATAATAATAACGATAATCAATAATAATAATAATAATAATAATAATAATCATAGCACGTTAGGTAGGACCAACGGACGTAGCTGGCGTCAGCGTCAATCTGCAGGCTAACTGGCACTAATTCGTTATTATGATCGATATTAAGGAGAGAGACAGACAGAGAATAACGTCTATGTGGCGGAGCACGATATCTATGGTGACTAAAAGAAAAGCGCAAATTTTAACAATATTGGAAAATCAGAATCGAACATCGAGCGTAGGGACGGGCACGTAGACAAAGGGACGCGTGGTTACGAAAGAGAACCGGTCCCACTTCATCGTCCGTCGACATCGGGCTTTCGGCTGGCGTTTCTGACTGCTGCAACACCTGCAATAATCGAGGCACTCTCTCGAAGTTGATTAGTTTTTACGTTTTCTGCCTCTCTCATAATCTATATATTTGCGTGTGGACATTCATAAACAAGATATATATATATACACACACACATACACATATGTGAATATGACTCTTTGGCTTCTCGCTCCACTTTTCTCTCCCGCTTTGCATCAGCGTCCAGCCACCATTCGCTCTTCCCTTTCGGCGCCTCCCTTGCGAAATGGAGAGGGCGATCGAGAGAGAAAGAGAGAGAGAGAGAGAAAGAAAGAGACAAAATTATACATATATACATATATTGTAAGGAAGTAGGAAAAGTTACAGAGAAATGCGTGCAAGAGACTGTGAGTGAAACAAAAGAGAGGAGGGTCGTTTCTTAGGACCCTCGTACTTCTCGTACTTTCTATCTTTACAATACCTGAAAAATTTACGAAAGAGACATTGATTTTAGTTTCGTCAGTTAATTTACAATCTCGCGAGCATCCAAGTGTACGGGGTTCTCTTGTTCAAGTCTTCTTGCTCAAGAAGCTCGCTGTTGTCGTCGGCATCTTCTTTAAGGAACAGGATAACGGTGTGTCGTGATTGTATCTCTGGTATATGTCCGTGTAATGTGTGGATGTTTTATATATATGTACATGTATATGTGTGTATGTGTACGTGTGACGGTATGTGCATGCGCGTGTATATATTTACATGTGCGACAATGATTTTGTTCTGTACAGATCGAGAATGTGCGCGAGCTTGTGTAGCTCGCACGTGTCGGATGCGGTTACGGTGATAGATCTGCACTCTTACGTGCTTGGGAACTGTCGTGTCGTACACTTGGTAAACATTCAGGTATGGCATACCAATTCCGAAGAGTGCATCACGTCGCGACGATGCGGTTCAGCGTGGCCCTCGTTGGCGATGTTATTAGTATAGACAACACACATATTGAGGCCAATTACAAAATTCAATTGAGAACCTCGTCATATCGTAATTTAAACGTTATTAATTTAAAACATTTCGTATCGAAAGAATTTCCAAGCTATCGAGCGTGCAAACAATATTTGTATCAGTGACGGAAAATTTTTTATCGTATGAGTTTCTCCGATAAAATGTAAGTCAATTATTATTCAGGTAACGATCGCATTATTAAATTTTAGCAAGCATAATGTATGTAGATAAATAATGCTTCTCTTTTAAATCTCTGTTTTATCAATTTCATTTCCTTTAAAAGTTGTTTATGGAAATTTTATATGAAATTAAAAAATTAAAAACAACATCTGCGATTTAAATTTTCTCGCGAGACATCGAGCCATCGACGGGCCATCTGAAAAGGGAAATAAAGCGGAGAGAACTGGTAAAACAAACATTTCCCCCCCTCCCCCCCCGTGATCGTGTTTCGTTTTCTAAGAGATCCACGTTGGTCCGTAACCCCCGAGGCAAATTCGGACGGAGGTGATTCCGTCGGTACGCGGTATGCACCCTTGGGAAATTGAAAACCACTTTTAGAGAATGAGACTTCCCTGCCAACAAGCTGGTCTGCCGCAATCATCCATGTGAGACTTTTCCTCCATTGTGTCCGGGTGTGGCTGCAGGTCTTCCGCGCGACGTCGCTGAAAGTCTTTCTCGCTCTTTCTCTCTCTTTTACTCCTGCTTGTACTTTCTTTTTTCTCTAGCCGTTACTTTTCTGACTTTTTTTATCTGCCGAATAATGAACACGATCGTGTCCCGGAGACAAGTTTTTTCGGATCGAAAACACGATGATTGAGTCTGCAGGAAACGGGGTATGTCCACCCCGCGCTGTTTACAAGTACGTAATGACTTCGGGACGGCCGCCGTCCAAGTCGCACTTCGCACCAAAACACGTTTGCAAAAATAACTCCTGATCCAATCGATTATCCGTTCGTTTAACCGAAACGAGCTCTTTAAATCAAATCGTTAATCTCCGATCCAATTTTCAGGATTGCGATTAATCTAATTTAATTAAAATAATAATAAGGATAACAAATGGCAACGAAAGAGACGTTTGCTCGACCCACCGTGTACGACTTTTCCAGGTCAAGAGCGGTCGAAGGACAACGACGGAGGAACGATCTCCTAATTTAGATCCTGCTCAATGAACGAAATCGCGAGAGAGCGAGTACGCCGCTAACACAATTCCTCGCGTCATTCCGTGACTGCGATTATTACACACGATCCTCTCGTGCTTGACGCTAACATTATCGCGATTGTCGCACGCGATTGCGAGAATTAAGAGACAGATTTGACAACGGAAGTGGACAAAGACATTGTTATCGCCTGGCCCACACACCTCCCAACAAACCCGTCGTATCTGTTCGTTCCTTCTACTGTTTTTTTTTTCACTGTCTTCTATGTATATAGACATATCTTTCGGGGGGACTCTTAGTGTAGCGTTTTTGTGTGGGGCAGCAAAAACAGCAGCGGGGTTGATAGCCGGGTTTCGTGCAGCACAGCTTGTCAGCAGGGTGGTGTACGTGTCATTCGTAAGAGATATCTTTTCTCAACTACATCTTATTTACAAGAAACGTGATCACGTTCCATTTCCATTTCCATTTTTTTTTCATCACTTCAAGTCCAGTGAATCCGAAAACGCCTCGATTGGCAAAGCACATATAAATTATACATCGTATATGAATATTGTATAAATATTAATATATTCATTAAACATTATTCAATAAGACCTCTCATCAATTATATAATTTCATATGATTCATTTTGTATAAGATTATCTAGTTAAATTATCTAATTTAACATATTATAATGTATTAATAATATATGTGTTCACGTGTTAACTTCGAGAGGCGCGCGAAATATCAATTTACCAATAATGGGAAAAAACAAATTTTTAATGGTAATGTCTTTTATGTCGGAAGGAAATGGAACGTGCACATAGCTGCAAAAGTATCTGTAATTATTATGACCTAAGTACCGAACAGGTGATTGGTGTATTGCAACTAGTTCTTTGCACCTGGATAGCTGCGATAGGCTGCTAGAAAGAGAGAAATAGAACAGTGGTGTTTTGGTGATGTTAACAAGAATTTTGCCTCGTGTACTACTCACTACAC